GTGTTTTATCCTAGAGCCAATGGGAGCCATTGATGCTTCTTGAGCAGGGGAGTGACCTGGTCATACCTGTGCTTTAAGACTATCAATTTGACCACTCTGTGAAGGATGGATCAGAGGCAAGAGACTGGAAGGAAAGAGACTAATTAGAAGTCTAGAACAACAGTGTAGGCAAGCAGTGAGGAGGGCCTGATCTAGGGTGGCAGCCCTGGGAGTATTAGGGTCACTATCCTGTGAAAGGAGACATTGAAAATAATAGGAAACGATAGAGTCTCCCACTCTCTCTTATTCTTGCCATGAGAAAGTTATTGCTTCACAGCTTTAGATCTTTGGTTTTAAAATGAACCTTTAACATTTATTAACCTTTATTCTCAACAATTGATATTCAGTGTTACCAGAATGCACACGACAGAGAAAGAAATTAGCCCTGTTGGCTTATCTGCTCATTTCCTGCCAAGACACTTGATAATGGGATGGTCATTAAACAGACCACACACTCTTAGGGCTCGGAAGACAAACTCAGACCCTGCTAAGATGAGACCCACAGTGCCTTGGGCTTCTATCATTTTGGGAGGCGCTTTCCTTAGTTAAGCTAGAAGGGAATGAGTTTCATTTCCCTAAAAGATGCCTCATCACCAAAAACTATCCTTAGGTCTTGATGCAGAAAACCACTTTCTGGAGTTGATGTGATCTTTATCTTCCTTCCTGAGCAGTGGCAGCCACAGCAGATTTACTCAGCCCAGTTTAGCATTTGGAAATGGGAAGCCATGGGAAGAAGAATGTTACCATTTCCTGTCACCATTTTGGGATAACACTCTCTGTTAAATAATCCAGCCATGGCCACTGGGGCCAAGTTCCCAGCTGTCACAGTGAGCAGGCCAGTTAGCCCGACCTCACACACACATGCTTTGCTTGGCATAATTGGCGAGTGAGCTGATTCTCTGAACTCATCTTAGAAACTCAACACCAGTGATGGTCAGGCTTAAAGTGGCCCTCAGGGAACATTCACCTCTTGCAGCATTTTTGTTTAGAAAGGAACAGATGGGGATACTCTTTGAGTTTGCTATTCCTTGGGCTTGATGTGTGAGTTCAGCTTATTTTCTTGTAATAAACCCAGAGTGAACACTTAGCTTTTGATTGTAAGATATATCTTAAGTAAGGGTCACTCGTTAAATCTGGCCACCTTGTCATTTCCATTTCAGCTTTAAGTAATTTTTAACAGCTACACTGTGTGAAGCATTTATAGTAAGCAGGCATTGTTCCTTATCTATTTAGATGTTACTATCTACTTATCACCTAGGTGGCACAGTGGATAGGGCACTGGGCCTGGAGTCAGGAAGATCTCAAATCAAACCTGGCCTCAGATATTTACTAGCTTTGTAACCATGAGCAAGTCATTTCACCGTTTGCCTCAGCTTCCTCATCTGTAAAATGAACTGGAGAAGGAAATGTCAAAGCACTCTAGTATCTTTGCCAAGAAAACTCCAAATGGGGTCATGAAGAGTCAGACACGCCTGAACAACAAGTTGATTTTTCAACCACGGGGATGAATTTGTGTTGATCTACCCAGCCGTTCTCACCCGGTCCAACCACATACGTCTTTGGGTCATCTGGCTTAAGTGACCAATACAGCCTGTGGTCATGGAGCAGAACATATTAGCGTGATGTTTTAGCCAGTAGAACTCATCAAAAGACTAATGCTTATGTGACCTTTCAGCCCGAATGAATTTCCCCACATTAACACGTGAATTCTTTTTCTCCTCAGAAGACAAGTATTTGTTATCCCCGAAAACAATGAAGGCCCTCAAGTGAGCCCTGGCCAAGCATGGACTTGACATTGCCTCGCATCCCACAGCTTTGACTTTCAGGGCCCATATTGACCTCTTAATGCAAGGTCTCATGGGGTAGTGGGGTAGGGGAAGCAGCCAGGGGATCATTTGCATGCATGTTTGCATATCATTTACAACTTTTAATTTTTTTAATTTGAAGTGTCATTTACAATTCCAGGCCCATTATATGGTTTAACATTATCAATTGTAAGCCTCTAGCATTCCTGCTTTAATTATCTTTTGTTTTGAGGTAATGATGATAGAAGTCTGATGTAACATGGGGTTTTCTTCCTCTTTTGTCCCAACTGTCTAGCCCTCCCTGAGGGCTGTCTCCTTTTCCCACACACATCCTAGTACTTCAGAGAGAATGTGGAGCTTTCATGGCCTCCGTGTAATTGCCTCCTTTTCACCTTAGTTGGCACTCTGCACTCATCTTGTGGCCCTGGGAGATGCCAGACTCCCCCTGAATTGAAATGGCAGCTGTGTCCAGGCCAGATGCGCTTCCTAGTTGGTGGGATTTGCGTTTTGGAGGCTGCTCTTCCCCACATAGATGGGTATCATCAGTATTGCTTTTCATATTTTCAGATAATGAGTTTAGTTTGTTATACTTCACTAGGGTGTGGCTTACTGATCCTTTCTTTTTCCATACCAAAGTCCAATACTTGTGAATTTAAACATTTTTCCAGCAAAAGTCTTAAAAATAATTTCTACTTCTGGTTGTAACCACAGTGTGTTTCCACATAATTTCTCCCCAAATTGGATAAAGGCATCAGGCTGGGCCTGAGAGGATAGGGGGCTGGGGCTCTTTTTAGGATTTTCTCCTCACTCACTGTGAAACCCTGCAACTCAGTTAAACTTTTTACCTCGGTTTCTGCATCCAGAAAATGGGAATCTTTGACCCCCTAGTGGTAACACAGAATAGAATTACTGAGTATTAACTGGTCAGGAAGCATTTTGAAGTAGGCCACGGCATGTATAAACGCACTTACTGCTCATCTGACCTTAGGTAACATTTTGTCAGCCACCTTGGTCCTTCTCCCGTTCTCATTATCATTGCGCTGTTGTGTGTAAAGGCAGTGGTCATCAACAGGAGGACAAAAGCAAGGCCTAGGACCCAATTCGGGCTAGGCTTCTGGGACGGCCAATCTCACTCCTTCCAACTCCCAACCACGATACATCATGGGAGGCTGCCTGTTTACTTAGGGCTAATGGTGGATGTTGAACTTGGTCTCAGGATAGTCAATTTCCAATCCTGATGCTGTTGCAGTTGGGACAGGGCAACATTGCATTATATCATATAGTATAATTTAGTATCATCTAAATAGAGCTTTCTTTGCCAGTGTGTTGCTCATCATTTTACAAATTAGAGTTCCGTAATGGGAAGGCAATTCATAACTTGGACCCAGAGCTAAAATGATGGCGGGATTCCTTTTCTACTCAGTGATTGATCTTTAACATTTGTGCATTTTCCAGTATTAATCATGTTTATTGGCCAAGTGTTAGCCTAAGGACTTTTCAGTTTTGCAGTGCGCTTTCATTTTTCTTTTATGAGGGTAGAGCTTTTTCCCCCACTCCTCTCCGTTGCACAAAACTCTGTCTTATTGATTCTAATTGGAATTTCAAATTTGTGAATGCTAAATTATGTCAATATGCCAACCATAAATTGCCTCCCTACACTTAAGCAGTGACTGCGCCATAGTAAACATCTGGAGAAAAAGTGAAAATAAAACTGCTCCCTTTTGAAGAGCAGTGGCTCATCCCAACCAGCATTCCCAGCTAATGATGAATTTTAGCTTGAACCACGATGTGGGAAAGACTTGTGTCCCTAAATTGTAACTCATGTAATTCAAACCAAATTATCTACTTCCCAGGCCACCCATAAGTGCATTAGATTGGCTTCTGGCAGAACTTACTTGAATGATCAGCTTTAGCACACTAGAAGATCATCCCAGCCCCAGTTTATAGCATAAACCTCACCAGAAGCCTCCTATCTCAGGGAAGTGACCCACAAAATGCGTATTTAAGCAAGGCTGTGTGGGGAAAGGGGAAGGCACTAGCAACCCTTCTGCTTAAGCGGCTTCTGAAGTATGGATAAAGGTTTTCAGGCAGATCTGGAGACCTCTCTCCCTGGTTAGCCTAGAAACTCTTTTTTGCAAATCCCCAAAGAGATCAGGCCCAATGTCTACCCTCCCCATATTATGAGCGGAGATGAATCAGACCACAATGTTCCCGGCTGGAGAAGCTGTCATTTAGGCAGACACCCTGCTGAGAGGTGGGCCTCCTCACCTGGGTGATTTGAGCGCATCAAGCAGGTAGCTGGCGCCACCTACACAGCAGTCAGTTGGTCATGCCATAGAGTGGCACTCAGTGTCTCTTGTGGAGAGTTTAATTGGAGAGCTTCTCCACTTGGTCTAAAACATTCATTGCAAATGGATAGCCCTAGAAAGGTTTCTTTGGTTACTACTGCCTTTGTTCACCCGTAGATTGAGTTTGAACTCCTACGTTTCTACCCAGAGAATGCTAAGTAATGCCTGAATGGCCATGTCGTTGTAAGCCATTATGAGGATGCAGGAGATTGTGTACCCACATGCACTTGACTTTGCTGTGTCGTGTTGGTGATCAAAGGCAAGGGGAAAATCAAACAGGAGCCCGCCTTTTAATGGTCGTCACAGTGTATTATTTTTTTGTATAGAGAGAGAAAGATGCCTAGCTGGGACGAGGCTGATGAAGAGATTGCCTGCATCTGGGAACCACAAAAGGCTGGGCCTTCCTCTTTTATACTGTCCATTTAGGTTTGACATCAAGGTCTTCTTCGTTCCCCTCTGCACCCTGAGTGCACTTCTTCCTCTACTCTTCTTTAGGAAACTGCTCAAAAAAATGGTGGGCATTTGTTGTACTGTTCCCTCCCCCCACCCTCCAATCAGTTTATTGTTGTGACAGATTTGGCTCGACCAGCTGTTAGAGGAGCCCCTGCTCACAGCATGACTGCTTCCACATTCCCAGAGGTAGCTCCTATCCAAGGGTCATCGGCTGCTCTTGAAAGCAGTGTTAAAATCAACTTCCATAAGTCAGTACTGATTCTGTTGGAGGCAACACTCGTTGCTGCAAATCTGAAACAGAAGGCTTCTTCAGGGATCACTGCTATATTAAGGTCTTTCATACGCTGTTTTTCAGGTGGAAGTGAGTCCTCCTGGGACAAGGAAAAGATGCAGTCTCCTATGACTCCAGGATCCCAGCCCAATGTGGGCCATGCCACGCTGCCAGGCCAGGCCAGCCTTGGAAGTGCCCATCCACTCAATCCTCTCCAGCAAAATCACCTGCTGACCAACAGTACGTATGTTGTCCTTATTAAAAGAGAAGGAAGAGAAAGGCTCTGTCCTCCCTGCCCCTCCCAATCTACTAGACTGCTTGGGTGGGTAGTAGTAGCCCCATCGTTATTTTCAGTAAGAAATTTAAGATCTTGAATTCTTTGGTAAGAGGGGTCACCTTTTAAAGAGGTGATGGAATGGAATGTGGAGAGGGGCCAGTAACTAGATAGAGGGATTCAGATTCTAGACCAGGAGTTCTTGAGCTAGGGCTGGTGAGCACGTTTAAAAATATTTTTGGAGAACTGTATCTTAATACAATTGGTTTTCTTTGTAATCCTTTGTATTTTATTTTATGGATTTAAAAACATGATTCTGAATGGGGACCTGTAGGTTTCACTGGACTGGCAGACGGGTCTGGGATCCCACAAAGATTTATTGCCCTAACTCTAGATGATTTTAAACTCTTAGCAATGAGCTCAGACTTATATATGTTGCTTTCCTAGAATGCCATTTTGGTTACAAATAAGAAACCAGTGAGATGATGGCTCCCTTTCTACTTTGTCTGACACTGACTTCTCTCCTGGAGCACTGAAATTGACAGGCAACAGAGGAATATTTAATGTTAAGCTGTGTCAGCATCTCAGATCTCAGGGAATATACAGCAAAGGTATGGTCGCTCACAGAGGTGACCCCAGGTGCTCGGCAGCATTAAGAAATGAATTCTTCCCTAGGGGTCTGCAGGATGACCCTGAAGTTGGTAGGAGAGTGATAATACATCTTGTTGATTTCAACAATAAGGATTTGTTCTCTTGCCTATATTCTTAAGGCTTCAGAACATTTCTGGCATATAACTAAAATGAGACAGATTGCTGGAGTGAGATGTGCTGTTGATGGTTCTTGGTTTAATGTTTTCAGCTTGGGATATAATTCTAAATTTGCATCTACTTTGCATGAGGGGTGCACATGGGGTTCACTGTTGGCTTGCTGTGCAAGGTCACTTTTAGAGTCTTGGACATTATAGATTATTGAGGGGTGGGCACTGTGGCACAGAATTTGCACATGTACCTTTTATGCCCCGCTGCATGGTCTTTGGAAACGTTTGATGAATTAGATCTTAAAATTGTTGATGTGCTGTTAAATTCTGTTTGTAGTTTGCATTTAGTTTGCATGTCAATTGAACTTTAAGTAGGCATTCGACTTGATGTGGCCAGATGGCGTCTGGGTGATGTTGACACTTTGTGGAGAATGAGGAAAGATTATTAGGCTGGTAAGGGAGGTATGTAGAGTGAACAAAGGCTTGTACATGTATCAGACAGGAAATGCTCGTATCGTTCGATGTAAGGGGGGGACTAGATTTCCCCCCACATTTGTATTTGTGCCGATATAGATCAACTTGTAACCAACATGAAAGTCGAGTGGTATGCTGGGTTTGGTATCAAATGATATCACCAAGTAGGAAATTTCTCTCTATCGTTTGAAAGTTGTCCTTAGGTTGAGTATGAAGGGTAAGGAGAAAGATAATCAATGATTAACTTCATTTGTGTTGTACAGCAGACCATTAGAGCAGCATATGCTGTGTGGTGATGAAAGCATGAAATGCCAGGGTATGTCAGTAGCATTTGAGGACAAAGTCAGGCAAACTATTAGTTTAAAAAAAAAAAAAAGAAAAAAAGAAAGGCCATTGTGATTCATTGCAGTAACAGAAAAAGCTCAGTGTTGAGACATCTTTGATGATTTATTTATCACAGAAGAAATACTTCATAGCAGATAAGTTGGGTCTCATAGATGGCCCCTTAAAAGATTTGAAGATAGTGAGTTTTGAGTGAATGCCAAAGGAAGGAAGTCTCAAATAGTTTCCTGGTATTACAGTGTGGTCATTTACCCTCGGGACATGGTGTCACAGGAAATAGGTAGAAGGTTCATTTTCTGAGGTCTGTACAAATTCCAGCTTTCTAGGTCTGCTTTGATCCTTGTGGGCTTTTGACAATGGTATATTTCAAGACTGTCTTTCCTAGAGATGCTAGTGACTGATGTGTCCTTCATTTAATTAAGACTGCCACTGCTCTGTCATATGATAACTGGCATGTCTGCACTGTTGGTATGTGGCATTGCAGTGTTCACTCCCCCACCCCTTTCTTTCTGAGGGTTTTAGATCTCTGAAAATCGGGCAGGGGGCAAAACAAAATTTACCCTGCCTTTCCTACCCCAGCCACAAGAGTCTGTATAAGTGAATATAGTGAGGGGGATTTCCTGTAGACAGCGGCTCCTGTTCTCTGAGTGTGGTGGTGTGTTGAGTGAGAGAGTAGAAGGGATGCTGGAATGTCACAAGAGTGGTTGGGTGGAGCCCATACAAACTTGGTTTGTCGAATAGAGCTGTTGCAGAAAGACTTTGGGGCAAAACAGATCTAGAGGTGGAGTGGAAGATTGTTGCTTCCTTTTGGGTTCCTGAGCAAAGTCAAGCTTCTATTCGCAGCATTGCAGTTAACTGAGAGGCAGAGGTTTAAGGTATGCTTGAAAATGCCATGACTTACTTGTGTTCAGTACTTTGCCATCTCAGAATGTGAAGTTACCTTTTCTGGAGCCTCTCCTCAAGAAATTTCCACCCATAAGGTGAGGAGGGGTGAGCTGCTTGAACATTTGGGCTGCTGATTTGTCATGAGGATGTCTATGACAGCAATAAAAAGAAGTTATTGATGCCAGGGAAACATTCTCTAAGATTTCTTTTCACTTTTTTACACATACAAGCCAATGGAGATTCTGTAGAACTATATGCAGAAGAGCAGTTGGTATTGTCTAAACACTGAAAGGTGAACCTTTCACTAGATGGACACGTAAGCTCTTGCAATTTGTTGCTTCGTTTTCTTGGTCAGGAGGCGAGGGTGGGCTTGTTAAAAGCGCCTTTTGTCTGCCACCATGACATTTTCACATTTCCTTTTGAGCCGTGATCTCTAGAAGAACATTTCTCATTAGTCCTGTTAGAGTTAAAGGTCAAAGCGCCCATTCTCAGAGGTTTGTAACCAAAGGACAGAACTCATTTTGTGTTCTGATTGGCTGGACCCTCAAGCTCCAAGCATGGAGTCCTTGCTCTTAGACTTAGTAAAAACAAAGGTTAACAACGATTGCCCACAACACTGTTAGGATCAAAAGGAATGGAGCTCATTTGTTTAATGTGCATTGGAAGGAGACCTAGATTAGTTTCTTTAAGGGGCTAAACTAAATTTGCCTTTTAGGTCAGTTTTCTTTGTTGGGCAAGAAAATGAGTCTTACTTTTAAAAAAGAAAAAAAAAAGACTAGTTTTATTATTGTAAAGCAATGTGTATTTCATGAGTTCCATCAGTAAGCCAAGGGGCTAGAGTCTAGTGGCTAAAAGGCAATGAGATAATTTTAGATTCAACTTTTTATGATTACTTAGAAAGATGTTGGATGTGATTTTGCTTTACCTGACTGAGATGAACACTTTTAATATTACCATCCTTTCTCTTTTAGGGCTTGACCTGCCATTTATGATGATGCCTCATCCACTGCTGCCTGTCACCTTGCCTCCTGCATCAGTTGCCATGGCGATGAATCAGATGAACCACCTCAATACTATTGCCAACATGGCTGCTGCAGCCCAGATGCATAGCCCTCTCACCAGGGCAGAGGCTTCTGTCATTAAGGTAAAAAGCAACATTGGGACTTAGGAGATGATGCTGGGGGAAATCATGTGAGAGGAATAAATGCACACTAGTCATGGTCAGTAACTAAAAAGGAAATTGGACATGTGAGGAGTGCCATTTCACTGGCTCAATCAGTTAGCACTTGGTGCTGTTCAGAGTACGAGGTATGGTTCCTGAGTGAGCCAGTGTATTCCATCGCCAGAGACTGGCTATGGGGATAACCAGGTGAGAGAGAAGAGATAGATTAAGACAGATCCATTCACATTATGGGAAGAACTCAAAGTGCATGGTGAGGTCACTGGCATTATCTTTGTACAGGAAGGATAGTCCAGCTGAGTCACAGATTTTCAGATGTGGATGGTGCATCAGAAACCATCTAATCTAACCTTTACCTGACTGAGAGTATCTTCTACAATATACCTAAGTTATGCAGCCTTTGTCTGAGGACTCCTAGGAAGGCTAAACTCCCTGCCTTCAGGAACAGCCTTTTCCATTTGAGGTCAGCCCTAGTGGCTGGGAAGTTTTTTCCCTGACTTCAAGCTGAAATCTGCCTCTTTCCCTCATTACTCCTGGTTCTGTCCTCTGGGGGAAGGAAAGGGAAGAGAAAAGGAGTAAGCATTTATGTAGCTCTTTCTGTGTGCCAGACACTGTGCTAAGTACTTTGTAATTATCTCACTGGATCCTCACAACCCTGTGAAGTAGGCGTTGTTATTATTCTCATTTTACTGTCAGGGAAACTGAGGCAAACAGGATGAAGTGACTTGCCTAAGGTAACACAGCTAGTAAGTATCTGAGGCCGAATTTGAACTCAGATGAGCCTTCTGATTCCGGATCCAGTATTCTATCCACTCTGTCTTGTAGAACAAGTTCAATCTCCTTTTCCACAGGACTTGATTCTCCCTCTCACGTCCCTCCAAAGCTCTAATCCTCGCCATCCAAGCAAGCCCACTTCCTCCAGCCGATTCTCCCGTGGCATATACTTGAGGCCTTTTAGCCTCCTGATCACTTTCCCTGGGTGGTGTCTAGCACGTCAATGTCCTGCCTAAATTCTGGTGCCTAGAATTGAACATAACATCATTATGACATGTAAAAATGTTCATTGATTGATAATAGCAGTTAAAGATTTTTTTACTTCTGCCAGTAAGGTGACATAAGATAAAAGTCAGAGGTATGGAGAGTCATGGAAATCCTCACAGTTGCACGGAGAGATATCCCCAGGGGAAAACAAATTCTCTGAACCAAGGAATATACGCAAATTTTGCAGGATGTAAAAATAAGCCATAGTCTCTGCCCTCAGGGAGTTTACAGACTATTAGAGAAAATGAGAAATGTACCAAAAGTGGAATGTAACATATTAATCTTGATCCTGAAGAAGTATTAGACATTGGGGATCTATTTCTGGGAAATTCCCATCACTGGGAGATTTCAGGCAGAGGCTCGATGTAGGAGAGAGTCTAGAGTGGGGATTGCTGTGTGGGGTGAGGCAGTGGGCCAGATGAGCCGTGAAGACCCCTTCTAAGTCTGAGAATGCAATTCTGTCGAAGTGCTGTGGGGATCGAGGAAGATGAGAGATCATCTAAGGAAGTGGTGGTAGGAATTTTGGGGAGCAATGTAAAAAAGAAATTTGACATAACAGAAAGGGCAAGTTAGCGCAAAGAAGTGCTAATACCAAAGGCTTCATTGGGGAGAGGCTCAGGGAATATCTGGAGAAAACTGAGTTGACTGGGGCATAGAGTAAGTGAAGGAGAACAGGGTGATATGATCAGGAGATGTAGGTAGGAGGGAGGTAGTGGGACCAGAAAGGAAGGGATAGGTTGCAGAAGCAGTAAGACTTGGGGACTCTTGGTTATCAGAGGGGAGGGAGAGTTTAAAAATGACTGCAGTTTTGATGTTGGGCACTGCATTAGTGGAAAGAGGCAATCTAGAAGAAGGACATGGAGAAGGGGCAATGGATACATCAGTTAGTCTTGTCATCTCAGAACTTGGGCAGCTAAGGGGCGCTGCAGTGGATAGAGAGCTGGCCTGGAATCAGGAGACTCGGCTCCTGGAGGTCAAATCTGGCTTCGGACACTTCCTAGCTGGGTGACCCTGGGCAAGTCACTTCACCTTGTTTGCCTCAGTTTGCTCATCTGGAAAATGAGCCGGAGAAGGAAAGGGCAAACCACTCCAGTGTCTTTGCCAGGAAAACCCCAAATGGGGTCACGGAGAGTTGGAGACGACTGAAATGAGTGGCCAACAACAAGAGATCTCAAAATTTGGCCTGTTTCCCCGTTTCTTTTGGGGCCATGGAGTCACAGGATGAAAGCCTTAGGTGGTACATCAGGGGCCATCGAGTTCCACCAGAACCTGCAGTGAGGACAGACCCATTACTTCCCCATGAGGCAGCCCATTCCACTTTGGAATGGCCAGAGTGGGCATCCAGGCACTGAGGTTTAGGTCTTAGTCGACAGCATACACAATAATGAGAATTAGCTTTGTAAATTGTTCCCTCTTTGATTTAGAGATTAAAGGATTTAATACTCTCCAGGATTCATACATCCATACTGTCTGCATGGATAGCATAGTGCTTGGAGAATGAGAAAGAGCATGGCAGAATAGAGAGCTGGCGCTGGAGTTTGGAACACCTGGGTTCACGTCTCACCTCAGACACACAAAGACACGTGACTCTAGGCAAGTCATTTAACTTCTCGGTCCTTCAGACAAAGCTTTCAGATAGTGAGTTGAAGAGGCAGTGCTAATGTGGGGTAGTAGAGAGCTGCTTAAAAAACAAGAGCAAAGCACAAAAACGACATGTTCTTCCAATGTGCTTTTTGGCAGATGGTGCCATAATTCCATCTACTCTAGGTGGGCCCTTCAAACAGCAATTACCAGAAGTCAGCATCCTCAGTTGACAATTTTTATAAGTGCCACAAGTTTTGTTTTTTTTTTTTTCATCAATACAAAAATATAAAAGTATCTCTGACTTACTGGCAGGGCTTCAAGTGAATGCATACTTCCAAATTAGGTAGTGTCTCATTTCCTCGGCATAGGGAAGTCTCTCCACTGGGTAAACTGTAATCATTTCTCACTTATGTCCTGAGCTGTTAAATGTCAGAGGTAGTATTTGAACTTGGATCTTCCCAGCTCCAAGCCCAGCACTCTTGTCACTCTTATACTATGCTATTAATACCTTTTAAATTAGTATGACTAAATTGTTTTATAAGCTACTTGAATGAAGTCATCATGCCTTCTGTTTCACGGTTGCCATTTAGAAGGAAGGCATCCTATTGAAATCTGCGTGATCAGCAAAGTTAACATTTAGGACTTCAGAAAGAAATGTCATAACTATGAAATTTGATTTCTTTTTGACAGGGATACTATAAATTAGGCAGAGTCACAATGACTAGGCCCACAAAACCTTCCTTCCCTTCTATAATATAATCTAATGTGATTACAGTGTCACCCGCTAGCATCACTATAGTTGAAGGTCTGTCAGCATTTCAATTATAAATCCCTACTTTCAGGGAATTACAATCCTGCCATAAAAATTTCCTGCCTCAGAAGCTTGGCAAGTAATGCCCCGGACTGAAGTCATTTTGCAAGAAATCTCTAAATATAGCTATTTAGGGGCTTTTCTATAGTGAAAACTCAAAAAGGATTAATTTGCTGAAATCTTTTGTAATTATTTTCATCCCAGATGGCCTTTTCTGACAGCTTTCTACTTTTTGATAGTATGCAACCAGTGACACCCCAAAGAACAAAGTGTGGTGATGCTGCCACATGACGACCAAGCACTTGGAGCTCCTACCCTGCTTTAGCCATAACCTTTTCCTTGCAGGGTCACTCGAGGCCCCTCTGGTTTCTGCTCACTCAGTGTTCTGGAAGGACCTGTTAAGTGTATGCTCAGAACGTTGTGACACTCTACTAGAGTCCTTAGTAGCTCAAACGTGGATTTTCGAGGCATACTTCTTACTAGTTGTATGAGCTGGGAGATACTCTTCATGGCCTAGTTTGCTAGGCTTTCAAAGCTGGGTTTAAATCTTGCCTCAGATACTGACTAGCTGTGGTGACCCTGGGCAAGTTACTTAAGCTTTGAGCCTCTCTAGAGAGGCTGCCTGGTGAAGGTCAGCTTTGGAGTCGAGCAGATTTGGCCTCCAGCAAAGGCCTGGGGTACATTCCTGGATAAGGGACCCAGGGCAACCTACTCAACCTCTCAGTGGCCCAGCTAGCTCTCTAGAGCAGGTAGCAACCACCCCTGAGAGAGTTGAAGTTCCCTCTAGCCACGAAAACACAGGTCCAGTCCAAAAGATGCCCCCTTCCCCTGCTGCCCCACCTTCCCGACTCCCAGGACTAGGAAGAGGATCAAATGAGTTGACCTGAGTAAAGCACCTTCCAAAGCTTAAAGTGTTATAGAAATGTTCATCATCATCATCATCATCATCATTGTTGACTTCTCTGTGCCTCAGTTTTTTTTCCTCAAAATGGATCTTATTTTTCATTTAAAAAATTAAACTTCCCTATCAATTAATCAGTCAACAAGTATTTATTAAATGCTTATTGTGTGCTCTCTGCATATGGGTGGAGACTACTGACTGACTTATCTAATTCCAGGAACAATTTTAAAACCATTTCATTAAGGACTCGCCTTTAAAACAAAATACACTCTTTCATTATTAAATACAATCAGTCAACATCCAAAGAGATGAAACAGACAACAACCAGGAATTGTTATCATCATAGGCTCTCAGAAGCAGGAAGGGCCCTTAGAGATAATTAGTCCCACACTTTACTGCCCCTCCTCCTCCCATTTTACAGATGAACAAACTGAGGCTCCGAGAGATCATGCTCTAGGCAAACCTTGGACTTGAATTCAGGTCTTCTGCCCCCCCCTGAATCAAGGGTTTCTAACCCTTAAAGGGGAATGATTGCTATTTGCCTTCCTTCTCAGAGTTGAACATTTCAGTTGTCTTTTAATTCAGTATTTTTGCTTCTTATTTTCCTGGCTCTTTCAAAAGCAAATT